CTAGCGTATTCTTCTCTGGCTAACGTTTATTTATACCGAGTTGGATTGCTTCAAGATGGTGTCGCTAACCCCATTCTCAAACCTCCTACTTTATACGGGCTTGGAACAGGCAGTAAGCCTAAATGTGCTCCAGGTGGAGTTATGGATCTCTTACCGTTAATCTATAGCCGGAACACTACATTGTGAAGTACAAAAATATATTTGAATAATTTCTTACCTTATCTATAGGTAACGCCAAAAATGCTTATTATTTAAAAATTAATGACCTTCAGAAGGTTTGACTGTCAAGCAAACGATTGCACTTTTATATTTCTAGGCAGTTATGCTCAACTTTGACCTAACTTTTTTAAAAGAATAAAATGTTTTTCTGTAAATGCGTATCATGATAAAGCGTGAAAATGAAGTGATAACTTTCAGCTATAATATTGTATTTCAACGATATATATCAACTTAAAATCAAAAAATGTTCAGAAATACTTTGATTCACTAATTATTAAGAAGAGGATTGTATTCTTTACAAAATGAAAATCTTGGATTAGATATGTGTTTTCTACAAAGTACTTTCGGTCACTTTTCCGGATAAGTCCTAAAAACAAGAAGTTATTTTCACTGTAGACTTAATTTAAAAACTCCTTATTGTACGTATTCGTGTTTTCCTGTCTGCATATGTGACTGTATCACAGTAAAATAATCATAGCAGTCATTTATAATAACTAATCCTAGTATTCACATATTTTCATTTACTCTAAATTTTATAGCTACTTAAACAATGTTTAAGTAGTTAAAATAAAATGAATGAATAACTTTGCATATTATAAGCTGTTCATGATAATCGAGTTCTTGTTTTATAGTTGGCCAAAATAATAATCTACAAACTATCATAGGAATTACTAAATTATGTTACGTTATCAATTGAAAGTTTTCTCACATAATTAAGATACCGGCTAAGTGGTCCGGTGGTTAGGCGTTCTCCCATAAGACCGAAGGTCCTGGGTTCGAATCCTGAGTTTGTAAGAGTTGTGGATGTGCACTGCTGATGAGTCCAACAACAGGACTTGAAGGCCATCCGTTGCTTCCAGGTTTCTGATGGTGATCTAACACTGATCGATTAACCCAACGTTCTCCACAACCTCATAATGCAAATTCTGCTATTTAAAATTATAGTAAATAGAGAATTATTCTCGGCTTATTGTAGGCCATTAAGAGAGTAACAACCAACTTCAAACTAATTTGACGAAAGTTTAGATTGCACATAAGACATAAAGCAATGAAGATTAAACTGGATCTGATCATGTCACTATATTGTCATTTCGGTCAAATTTATTTCATGTAACATCTAGCTGTTTGTGGTAATTGTAACACATTCACATTCATAACCCCTAGACCACAAGCGGACATCCGAATGAAAAAAGTAGAAGTGCCAAGCCGACATTTCATTCTTGAAAAGGGTTCCCAAGTGGTGTATGTAGACACCCTAG